TCATAAGGCTGTTGTAAGATCATGTATAGCCAATATTTAACACACCGCGGGGCACATGGCACTGAGAAGGACGGGGGGAATAATGGATATTACGTGTGTGTGTGTGTGTGTGTGTGTGTGTGTTAGAAAATTGGTGGTGGTATATTGGAAAGGCTTTTTGATGCCAAGAGATTTAGCCCTTTTTTCTTACTCCAGAAGGAACAGAAAGAAGCCTGCAGTTTATTCTTAGCACAAAACCACCCCTTTATCTCATTGTTGTTCACACCACACTGTTGGGGCAGCTGGTTTGTTTTTTTTTTCCCCTCAGCAGTGCCTTGAGTGCAGGTGGAGAGAAGTCAGGCCAGCAGACTTCCCCACGTGACTCAGCACTTCTGCTGGGACTCTGGTTCCTCCAGCGGATCCAAATAGGAGGGTGATAAGAACTTGTGTCCAGGGAGCAGGGGGGCCTAGGCTCCTGGGGGTGTGCCCGACCCCTACTCGGTGTCAGCGTGCGGGCTAGAAGGTTGGGCCGCCCTCCCAGCCTGCCCATGAAACCCCCGAACCCAGGCATCAGCACGGCTGCCAAATCATCAGGTTCGGCATCTCTGGAGGGCGCTCTCTGTCCCCCACACTTCCTTGTCCCCACTGCACCCCACCCCATCCCATCCCTTCAGTCAAGGAGGAGAGAGAGGATGGTTCATCCCTTTCAGTAGCAGAGCCAACCCCCACCACCCCCACCGAGCCGCTCCATCCAGGGCTGTGGCAGGTCCAGTCAGAGGGCGCCAGGGGAGGGGATCCCCTCACGCACGCAAGACACACACACACACACACACACACACACACACACACACACACACACACACACACACGTACACACACGTACTGTGTCTGCGATCAGGCCTGTGTGCCAGCGCGATCTGCGCGCCTGGACTTGTTTGCGAGGCCCAGGCATAACTGGCTTGCCTCGCTCCACACCTTGGTGCGCCCTCCCCACCTCCTCCTTCTCTTCCCCCTCCCACCCCCACTGCACCTCGAAAGAAATTAAAAATGTGACAACAAACTCCAGTTGTCAAACACCCACGGATCCCCGCCAGTCACGTGCTCCTGGCGCGGCGGAGCGGGGCGGGGCTGCGGCGTGGAGGAGTAATTGGTGAACCCGAGGTGAATGAAATAATTGGAACAGTGAGGTGTGAGTTTGTTACTGAAGTGTGAGCGTAGTGGGGGAGGGAAGGAGGGCCACGTTTAAAAGCCCCGTATGTCCTCTTTATTCACAGCTTCTGATACAGTAATTGCTATTTTGTGGTTTCTATTATCTACACAGTGGGGAGCATCCGTGTCTCCTTCCCAAGTGGTAGAGTCTGGGCTGGCGGGGGTTGGGGGGGGTTGGTTCCTGGGTGCCCTGTCATCTGCCTCCCTCTTCGGTCCCTGGCGGCCCTGCCCAGGCATGCCCAGGCCTCTTCTCCCAGGAGACGCGCAGAACTTCCTGCAAAAGCCGCTCTTGAAAATGGCTCTGTGGGCTTTGCTGTCAGATGAGAACTTTAATAATGGCCGGTATTTATATATCGCTTATCTCCAAGGAGCTAAAGGTACTCCATCGATTCCCCCGCCCCAGCCTTTTTTACCTTTTTTTTTCTTTTTAATTCTCTTTTGATCTCTCTCTGATATCATTAGTATCGGCTTTATTTTTTCCCACCCAGTAGTTACACAAGCAACTGAAGCCATCCTTCCTGAGCTGGGAGGGAAAGCTCACCTGAGTTTCGAGTCCCAGGCCGTGGGGCTTGGGCAGGTCACTTGGCCTCTTCAGACCTTGGCTTTCTCATCTGTAAAAACAGGAGACAGTGACTCTTACCCCACAATCGTTGTACCTAGAAACGGTATATTTAAAAGGCCTAGCACTCCACAGGCACTCTGTCATTGGCCACTGGGGTGACAGCCGCAGTGACGGTCTTGAAGCTCAAGCCCTTCACTCCGGGGCTTCATGGGAATTGGGAAGTTCGTTCTAAGATCTAACCCTAATCTTCCAGCTGCTCTGGAAGCCCTCACTCTTTCTTGTCGTGAGGAATGGTGGGATTTTTTAAGCTCCTAGGGTCTTGGGACACAGCATTTCCTTGGCCATGCAGATGTCTGTCTGGACACCCCAGACGAGCAGTGACCTCCCCCACGGCCCCCCAGCTCCCTGGTCCCCACCCTCACTCCCTCGTGGATCGAGGATGCCCCTCCGTCCTGGCTTTTCCCTGCCAAGCTCCCAGATGCCACTTCTCCAGGCCACGTAAGCATGGCTCCTTTAGCTTCTCTCATCAGCTTTTTTTCTCCACCTTTTAATTATTTTCCTCGCCTTTCTCCGGACCCTCAGCTGCTTACCATGCATACAGCGTCCACAGCTTGCAGTGCGCTGCAGAGAGGGAGGAATTAACCTCACCAGTCTCTCCCTCTCTCGGTCTCTCTTGCGTACACATACGGGTGAGGTCCCCAGAAATGAGCCACGGCTAAGAAGAATTGGGCAGCATCAAGGGACGGGAAGTTAGAGCCCCCGTGGGCAGAGGCAGGGGGTTTGCACCCAGTGCAGGCAGGAGGGACTGGGTCTGAGTCGGCCTCCCTTACCCTGGGATCTCGGGCAAGTCACTGGACCCCTCGGAGCCTGCCCAGCGCAATCCTAGCCATCCCCGTACACGGCCTTCCTTCTTCATTGCCAGACAGGGCCAAGCCTCAGAATGAAAGCCCCGCTCCGGAAAGTGGCTGGTCCCCTCCAGATAACTGAAGCGGGTGAAACATCGCGCAGCACAGAGAGCTCCTCCGGCTTCGCATCAGACACTCCCAGGTTCACACTCTGGCCCTGCCACCTACTCGCAAGAACCACTACCTCCCTGAGCCTCAGTTTCCTCATCTGAAAATGGGGTCGGTGAGACCAATAGTAATTAACATTTGTGCTCTTCATATGTACCCCGTGGCCTGGTTCGTGGAATCCTCATCACCACCCTCGGAGCGTAGGTGCGACATCCCAATGGTCGTGTCCGCCTTCCAGGGCTGCTGTTTCTTCGGTCCAAAACTACCTCCAGGCGTCCACTGTGAGCCAGGCCTGGGGCACCTTGCTGCGGATCCCGTGATGGGCAAGATAGATGTGGTTTCCACTCTCGCAGAGCTGAATTCCAGCCCCAGGGGAAGGCAGAGCGTTCCCCAGGCGTCCACACCGCAGCGCCCTGAAGCACAGTGGGCCCTGACTGCTGCGGGCACATCCGCCCCCACCCAGAGCAGGTCAGCCAAGGCTGCTCACGGAAGCCGAGGCCTGAGAGCCTGGAGGCTGGGCCGGGGGTGGAGAGTCAGGCAGAGAGACCGGCCCACCCCATAGGTTGTCTGTGGCCGTGTCTGCCCAGCGCCCAGCATGACCCAGACACACAGCGGGTGCTCGGCAAGGCCTCCCTGTGCCCTTCAGCCTCCTGAGACCAGGTCTGAATCCGTCAGATACACTGTCCCCACAGTCCCCGTGACTCTCTGAAGAACTTGGTGCCAAAGCGCCATTTATGTTTACCCAAAGGAGCCTGCCAGAAAGTATGTGCGTCCCCTGCCCTCGTGTCCAACGCCAGCGGGGCTTCGCTGGAAAAAGAGGCAGCGTGTCTGTCGTGGGGCGTGTCGGCCTTTAGGTGGCAGAATAAAGCAGGGTTTGTGGGCAGGACTCCGCTGGGTTCTCCCACCTCACCTTCGTGTTGGTCCCCACCTGCCCAGCCTCTGGGCCGCTCCAGGTGGGCCACGAGCCCCAGCCGGGGGCTGGGATGACTGACAGGCCTCCACTGCCCATCCTCTGCAGCCCCTCCCCTCCCGGGAGGCTGGCCGTGGAGCCAGCAGCCCAGTTTCCGTGGCCTCTGCTCGGAGAGGCGCCAGGAGAGGGAGCGGAGCTGCCGGGGAGAGTGCCGGGGAGACGTGCAGGTTCATTTTGAGGCTTCATAATGCCGCATTTACACACCGTCCTGCCTCCAGAAATTGGGCGGGCAGATGCCTGGTCATGCCGGCAGGGCTGCGGGTTAACGCCACAGATTCAGCTTAGATCATTTCACGAGAGCTTACGGCCTTTCCTGTGCCTTTTGCCCAGTCGGTCTCTGGCCCCGAGGCATCCTGCACCATCGTGTGTAGGTGCGTGTGCCTGGGTGCCCGCAAGTGTGTGTAGATTTTCAAATAAAATAATATCTCTTTGCAGATGCCGCGCACATTAAATATTTATCGGCAACAATTTGTGCGTATATGTTTGATAAATGGACCTGAGGATGGGCTGGGGGCGGGGGAGTGAGAGAGGAAAGCACGGGAGGCCCGATCCTTTTGTCCGGGAATTTCTCAAAGGTTTATCCAGGGGGAGAGGGGGCACTGGGGAGATGGTTGGAGGCCGTGTTTACCTGTTTGATCCCTGCTGGATGCGGGGGGGCGGTGGGGAACACCTGCCTTTTCTCCTCCAGAGTCAGCTTTGCCTGACTTTGGCTTCGAGGATATCAAAACCCTGAGGCAGGAGTGGGGTTTGGAGGGCGTGGCTGTGTGGCACTCAAGTGCCAAGTGCTGAAGCACCATCCCAGGTCCCGGATCTGGGAGAAGGGACTCACGCTGCTTACTCAGTCAGATGCGTGGGGGTCCGTGGGGAGTCCGTGCTAACCCCGAGTCCGGGGCCCCGGCCTGGCCGGTGCCTCCCCAGCCCAGCCATGCGTGCACGGGGCTGCATCCCCCTTGCTGAATATTCATTCCCCCCACCCCTTCACCCCCGGGAGGAACGGCATCCCCAGTCTGACGGTTCCCTCCCTGCTGGCGTGATGGCCAGGCCGGAGGAAGAAGGCCACCCAGGCCCCCAGGACACGTGCTGGCCAGTGGGGAGCTGACACTGACACGAGTGTTCGTGCACGTGGCTGTGCACACGTACCCGCCTCGTGCATCTGCGGGCACTCCTCTCTTCTAACTGGAAAGGGTTAGCGGGTGAGAATCGGTCCTGCCTCCCCCCGCCCCCTTTGCAGGCCTCGATTCTGAAACTCCCGTGTTTTTATTCCCAGCACCTTCGGGGAGCTGAAGACAGTCCGCTTGCCGAAGAAGATGACGGGGATGGGCTCGCACAGAGGGTTCGGCTTCGTCGACTTCCTCACCAAGCAGGACGCGAAGGTGAGACCAGGGCCCCTCCCTCCCGGCCTCTCCTTTCTGGGTCCTTTGTGGGAGAAGCAGCAAGGCCTCTTCACAGACGTGGGCGCGGCCCCCACTCCCCATTCGGATTTTCTCTCCCCTCCTCTCCCCAGCCCTGCTAATTTACACAATGTCCTTGGAAGAAAAGACCATGGGCCTTGTGTTTGGAGGAAGGGGCAGTTCTGTGTCCCGGGCCGCTCCAGGTCAGACAGAAAGCGTGGGAGATGCTGTGCAGAGTGTGGAGAGGAGCCAGGGGACAGCGCTCGGAGAAGAGGCCGCCAGGCACCCCGGTGGGAACCCGCGGGGACAGCTCTTTCCCCTCTTCTTCTGCTGGTGCCTGGGGCTTGTGTTTTGTGCTGATTTCAGGTGCACTCAGGCCAGGCAAGTGCTGCTGTGTGTAAGCACGTGTACGGAATTCCTTGGAGACAGAACCACCTTTTATTTTTGAAGCAAGGCAGCCTCTCTGGGTGTGGGCTTGGCGCAGTAGGTCCGGGGTCCTCGTCCTCCGCGGCAGCAGACCAGGGGCAGAGGCTGTGTGACCGGGGTCCGCGGTTGCTGCTGTCACAGTCCCAGGTCAGGATCCTGGGGGGAGGGGCCATGGCGCCGTCTTCGTGGGCTCCCTCCGAGAGCCTGTGCCGCAGGCAGCCTTCCCCGCCCTGGCCTGTCTTCCCTTGAGGGTGCAGTAAAGCAAAGGGGCGCGTGTCACTAACGGCTGGGATCCCCCCGCCTCTGCGGAGGCGTCTTCAGAAAAGCAGAGTATTTGTTGGAATCACACTCTTGGCCAGCAGCAAATTGGCGTTGCCAGAGGCCCTGTGGGTGGAGCTGAAGGTGTCATCTCAGGGACACAGCTGCGGCCTTTGTGGGCCCTGGGAACACGCACAGGCAGAGAGGGTGCCCCAGGACTTCAGCAGGCCTGCCAGCCACCTTTGTCTCAGCGTCTTGAACTCAAGTGCACGCTTTGTTGACACGTGGCCATGTTTGTCCAGACATCTGCGCCTCTTTCTTCTCGGCTGGCAGTCTTCCCCTCGCCTCCTGTCGTGACAGGAGGGACCACAACCCCTGCGTGCAGCCGGCCCACGGCCTTGACGCTCACCAGCAAGGCAGGCACCTGCGGGGTCCCCCCGCCACTGGCTCAGAAGCCAGGGAACAGCCGTCCAGAGCACTGCACTTACTGCTGGCTGCTTGGCTTCCCCGGCCCTGCCCTGTGCCTCAGTCTCCTCATCTGTAAAATGGGAAGGATGACAGGTCCCACGCCCACAGGGTGAAGGCAGATATGGTGACACGGGTCCTGGCACACGGTGCTCGAGATGAGTGAGCTGTTTCCTCCTCGTTCCCACCAGCCCAGGTCCCTTCAGAGCCCTCCATCTGTGGACAGGGAAGAGAGGGGTGCAGGCAGCGCTTCCTGCACTGCGTCCATCTAGCCCTGAGCTTCTGTGAGTGTGTAGGACCATTGTCATCTGTTTTATGTCAGGGTTCCTGTGTGAGACTGCGATTACGGGAGAAATGAAGGGGGATTCACTCCCTGCTCCAAGAAAAATCCTTATTAAGGACCAGTGCGAGGGCTAGCTGTTAGAGCACAGACTCTGCTGCCCGAATCCTAGCACTTACCTGCTATGTGACCTTGGGCAGGTGACTTACTTTCTACGTGCCTCGGTTTCCCCCCTTATAAAACGGTAATAGAATTTCCCTCACCGAATCGTTGCGAGGCTGGGATGAGATGATAGTCTTAGGACGGTATCTGGCCTCCGTGAGCTCCGTCTGTTAGCTGTGATGAGGCGGTTGGTGATGGTGGTGATCTAAGAAGAAGGGAAGGAGCAGAGAGAAAAGTTGTCCACGCCCTCCAACTAGAAGCTTCTTTCACGCGGCAGCCTCCCTCCGGAGCTTGAAGTCAGAATTAACGTGGCTCTCGTGACCCAGAGGGCTAGACCAGGCATGGACTGCCAGCCCTGAAATTCCACGCTCCCGTCGCCAGGATGCAGTCAATATAGCTTTGTTCCCTGGGGTCATGGGAACGGGGCGTGGGGGGGAGATGCTCAGGTAGCCGGGCAGTGCCAGTGCCCGCTTGGCTAGCGCCTGGCGCCGGAGGCCAGGCTGCAAATGTTCTTTGCAGAGCCTAGCACAGCCTTCTGCTGACTTATGGAGGTGGCTCCTCCCCCTCTGTCCCTTCCAACCTGGGCTCCAGGAAGAGAAAGGGCAGCCGAGGACGGCGAGGGCTCAACCCACACCCCCTCCAGGACGGGCTCTTGCGGCCCCTCACCTCCGACAGGCGGCAGCCTGGCTCCGGAGCTGTCCCGGCCCCGCCGTTCCCGCCTCTCACCGCACCAGGACGGGCCCTCTGTGCCGCCGCTGAGCGGGCTGGTCTCCCATGAAGTCTGAGCCCACCGGGAACGCACCTCTCCCGCAAAGATTCCTTTGCTCTTTTTGCTTCCCGGAGAAGCTGCCGTGACTTTTCCTTCTCCCTGTCTGTCTGAAGAACTTTATTGTCCCCCGAGTGGAACATTTGGCGCTCTCCACTGCGCCATAGAGCGTGCGCGCTGCATGTTGGTGAATAGAATTCTGAATATTGTAAATATCTGGTTAGCTCGAGGGCAGGCGTGAGTTTGAAGAGGGAAAGCAATGCTGGAAGGAGACATTGAGTTAGAAACCCCCAGAGACCCTATTTTCATTTCGAAAGAAGGAACTCGTGGGAATCCCAGGGCTGGTAGGGGAACCTCCAGGACCCCCAGTTTCTCAGGACAAGCGCCGCCCACCACCCCACGACCACCCCCAGCGGTTCTCCCTTTGAAGCGCTTCAGGGAAGAAGACCTGCTTTAGAAATCCTTCCCGGGGCTTGACTGAACCCTGACCACTCGCCTCCCTCACCGAGGGCTTCACCCCTGCTTCCTGCCGTGGGGCGTCCTCCAGGAAGATAGTGGTCAGTAACTCTTGTGGTGTCAGAGCACTGGAACCTGGAGGTGTAAGCCTCCTGTGCCCCGGGGCGCCAGGCGGTCCTCAGAGGGGAAAAGAGGAGACAGGGAGGAAAAGATGAGGGGAGCGGACACATATTAGGGGGAGGAGGCAGGGAGGGAGTAGAGGCCGATTGTAGCACCTTGGGTCTGGAAAGCAGTGGAGAAACTAGCAGTTTCCAGGCTGGGCTGTGAACCCGGGGATGTGACTCACAGCACAGTACTCTTTCCTGGGCACCAACCAGTCCACTTTGCCAGCTGGCTGAGGAGAGAATTAGGCACCCTGGTTGGTCCCTGGAGGCATCCGCTCAGCACCCCCATCTCTCTTTGGGCCCCAAGCACGGGTCATCTGCGTCCTCCCCGCCCCCAGGGACCCTGAGTCTTCCGACCTTGCTCCATGACCCCATGTTCCACCCCGCACATCCTCGGGAACTCCGTCATCCGTCAGGCCCCTCTGGGTCAAGCACACGCCCCAAACAGGGAAGAGAATCCTAGCGCAAGGCTCCACGAAGAGCTCAGGGTAACCAGGCAACTGATGACAATAGCCAGAGGCGCCCGCGACCGGCCGAGCTGGCTTTGTGTGTGACATGTACACCGTACACGCATTGTCTCGTCCCAACCTGCAGCAGCCCCGGACTCAGCTGGAGATTTGCATAACTCCCTCCCCGGTTTCTCCAGGCGCTTGTTAAGCTCCATGTGTGCAGGGTCCTGGGAACCAATGGGAAGCCGGGACCTGGCTCTGTTGCTGAGATGCTAAACCAGGGGTGGGACCTGGCCGTCAGCCCCCGTCACAGGCTCCGTGAGCTGGCATGTTATCCCAACCTAGGGCATTTCATCAGCCCCCGATGTCCCAGGCATGAATGTCAGTCCCTCTGAAAGGGCTGCTGTTATTATTATCTAAACCTCCAAGTGTGATGAGCCCACATTTCTCAAAGAACCTTCTCCCACGCGCTGGAGGGAAGCAGGGACAAAGGTCAATGAGGGCAGACAGGAAGTCCCAAATAAGGTGGTCTTCCCCAGTGCCTGGGCCTGCGCTTGTGTGTAGGGATGTTTGTAGTGTCTCAGGTGCCACGTGTTTCTCTGGGTCCTGATGATGTTTCTGGAAGGGCAGCCTCTTGGCATCAGTAAAAAACCATCAACTTCTAAAAGCCCGTCTTTGGCAGGGACGGCACTGGGCATTTGACACGTCAGCGGGAGGAAGCCATTTGACAGATGGGTAAACTGAGGTTCGAAGGGTTGGCGCCACGTGCCAGAGCTGGGAAACCCCGCGTGTCGATCTGATTCCAGAGTCCACGGATTAGCTCTTCCTCCCTTCATTCACGTATTCACTTAAGTTGAGTGCCAGCTGCGGCCAAACCGTGCGCCAGCCCCCTTCCTCTCTACACCACACCCCTCACCTCTCACCCATCCCCAGCAACTCACCAATTAGACATTTGGAGGAAGGCCAAGAGGTTGGCCCTTAAAACATCTCTTGGGAACAAGCCCAGGATGAAATCAGCTCCTCCGGGGCCCCCAGAGGAGGAGTGGGCATTCCTTTAGGGGCCTCCAGAGCCGCACACTGTCTCCTGCCAACCGTCCCAAGCCTTGGAGACAGCAGCTTTCTACCTGGGCAGGTAACCTGGGATTCCCAACCAGCTGTGCCCGTGCCCACTGGCCAAGCGGCCACCAATAGTCACTGGGCTTCCGTTTAGAAGCCACCACCTCCTCTGCCTTTACTTGGACTGGCTGGTCACGGAGGAAGAAGGGAAAGAAAGCAAAGAGCAGACTTGCAGCCTGGAAACCAGAACATTCTTTTTTTTTTTTTCCCCCATGCATGCGCCTTTAATTTCTCCCTTCCCGGAGCCCACCGAGCCTTTGTACTTTTGCAGTTGCAGCTGTTTTTATTTGCCACCGCTGCTGTTGTTTTAAAAGGTCTGTTTTCACATGGAATGTTATCCAATTAGCAGAGCAATGTGTTGGCTTAAATAAACACTTGGGGGGAGCCGGCAGTAGGGAGATGGGATGGCGGTCGGCGTTGGCAGGCAGCGCTCTTCTCTTCTCACCGGTAAACAACCACAGCTTTAACTGGGGAGTCGTGCCAGTTAACGTCTCCGTTCTCACTTCTCACTTTTGTATGGTGCCGGGGGAGAGGGGGGCGTGGACACAGCCCCAGGCCCACCCCAGTTGGGGTAATGCTGAGAGAGTTTCGTAGGGGGGTCCCATCAGGCCTCTCCGCACCCATGGCCTTCGCCTTGCAGATTCCGCTGAAACAAGACCAGTGGTGGGAAGAGGTGACAGTGAGCAAGGCAGAGCTTCTTAAGGCAGGGACAGCCACCTTCTCGCTGGGTGCCCAGCCGCGGTGCAGGCACCGTAAACGGCGATCGCCATCAGACTAGCGGTGGGTGGTGTGCGCTCCACACACAGACACACACACAGCTTTGCTCATCTGAGTGCAAGGAGTGCATAGAGTACAGCCTCCCAGGGGCCCCGAGGATGTGCAGCCAGGGTCTGAACGGGACATGGCCCCATGGAAATGAAGACTCCGTGGGCTGTGTCCTCCCTAGACAGCCCATGTTCTAGAAAGGCAGGGTGGCACAGTGGTTAGCAGCGTGGCCCGTGGAGTCAGAGCTGCCTCCTTCCATCTCCGTGAACGTGGGCAAGGGGCTTCATGTCCCCACACCGCAGGCTGTTCATGTCCACAACCGGAAATGATCTGCGCCTTGAGGCAGCCATGAAGATTAAGTGGAAAGCCGCGTGCCACGCACTCACCACAGGCCGCGGCGCAGGGCACCAAAGGAGCAGAGGCAGCGGAGTGTCCCGGGCCCCACGGGGCAGAGGTGCTGTGCTTTGAAGCCGAGGTATCAGTTGCTTTTTGTCTCCTGAAATGTTAACTGGCCACAAGGAATTAGGGTGCTATCCCCACTTGTCTGTGTTAGGTGTGTGCGCTCGTGCTTGTGTTTTTTTGTGGGTTTTTTGTGGGGTTTTTTGGCAGTACGCGGGCCTCTCACTGTTGTGGCCTCTCCCGTTGCGGAGCACAGGCTCCGGACGCGCAGGGTCAGCGGCCATGGCTCACAGACCCAGCTGCTTCGCGGCATGTGGGATCTTCCCGGAGCGACCGGGGCACGAACCCACGTCCCCTGCATCGGCAGGCGGTCTCTCAACCACTGCGCCACCAGGGAAGCCCGTGCTTGTGTTTTAAGTGCAGGTTTTCCCTAGTTCCTATCATCAGGGCCCAGGGATAAAGGAAAACGTGTTTGAATCCTGAGGCTTGCATTTCAAGGCATGGATTTGCCCTCAGCTCCACGGCATTGTAAGTCGGAGGGGCCCAAGGTGCTGAGTGGAGGCCCACAGTTGAAGTTAGCAGTATTGTGCAAAGAGCCCCACTTTTTCTGGGGACCAGCTCTTCCCCAGTGGAGGCCAGAGGTAGCTGGAAGATTTGCTGGGAGCTCACTTACAGGAGTCGGGGAGCATTGGTACAGGGACAAAAGTGATCTCCCCCTTAGAGCTCAGCATGCTGTCCACAAGGAGCCGATACAGAAAGTCCCAGGGCAGCAGACTGTCCTCCCAGAATCACAGGCCCCTGTTTTTCACCCCCCTCGGCAGAGAAGGGGCTGAGCCCCCGGCAGAGAAGGGGCTGAGCCCCCGGCAGAGAAGGGGCTGAGCCCCCGGCAGCCCCAGCTGGGCCGCGGCTCCCTTTCCCCGGGCTTGGCTGCTGTGCTCTGAGCCACGTGGTCATTCTTGGCCACACTTCCTCCAGGATTCAGGGGCACAGATGGTTTAGGGCAGGTTGGCGGCGTCCGTGTTCAGGTGGATTTGGCATCCGCCGAGAGATGCGGCCCTCCCACTCGGCGAGAGACAGCAGAGGGGCTGAGAGATGACCTGGACGTCTCAGGACAGGAGGCCTGGCCTCAGCCCAGCCCGGGAGCCATGGCCCTTGGGATGGGAGTCCTGCCAAGGGCATCACATGGGCTTTTGTTGCCAGGAGGCGGAAGCCCGTCTTCCAGAGAGAGCCGCAGAAAGGTCAGGCCTGGCACTGAGCTGGCAGCCTTCCGGTGCCTTCCCTGTTTTGGAAAGGTGGCTGCCAGGCCTGGGCACAGTCTAGCCGGCACTGGAGGCCAGAGCTCTTGGCGCCCACAGTTGGTGGCTTAGGTCAGAGGAGATGAAAGAGGTGTGTTTCCAAGATAGCTGAGGCGGAGAACCGGGTGATGGGGCAGCTCCAGACTCCGGCTAGACCCGCTCAGAGTAGCCCTTGTCGGGCCTCACGTTGTCTAAGACCTGCTCTCTGAAGGGGGCAGTCCATCTGCCCCGGGTCAAGGCAGAGGGACTCCAGGCGACCATCTGTGTCAGCAAACAGAACCTAACCCCAGATGGTTCAAGTGAAGAGAGATTCATGGAGGGGTAAGAAGGGCTCGGGGGGGCTCGCCAGGGATGTGACCCACCCCCACCAGGGCCAGTGGCAGTGGGAGCTGTCGCCACCTTAGGCTGAGGGACCTTGAAGGGACAGGTGAGAGCCTGAGCTGTCAAGGTGGGGCCACCGGCAGGAGCTGTGGTCCTGGAGGGAGGGGTCCAGGGAGAAAGTCTCCCGGCCTCTCTGCCCCTCCCCCAGCCTCTCACCGCCGCCTCCCATTTGCTCATCCTAAATGGTACCCGAGGCCAGCGAGCCCTGGTTATGCCCTCCAGGGGAGGCAGCTCTGAAAGCCCGGAGAGGGGGTGCAGGGGAAGATCAGGAATAACCAGCACGGGCCCATCGGGTGATGAAGGAAGTGGCCCCGAAGTGGCCGGGGGGCGGGGGGGACCTCATCTTCTACAGCATCCTCCTCTTTGCCAAACCAGTGTACCCTTAGAGTTCCATTCTAGACCTTCAGGCTTCGGCAGTGACCCAGCTGGGCGATCGGGTGTTAGTGGCACAGGAGACTCTTCCCATCCCAAGGTCCCAAAGTCACGCATGTTGGGAGCGGGGCCTCCTGTCCGTCTCTGTGCCGCACCCAGGACTGTGTATGTGTCAGCTCTTGTCCTAACCAAAGGCAGAGCCGCCCACTTGTACAGGACAGGACAGTCGTGGGCGAGACGTGCTCCTTTCCCTGCTGCCCTCGTGGGCTGAATCTCAGGGGTTGGAGGAGCCAGGGCAGTACATCTAAACCAGCCCTCCGTCTCCAGCCGGGACCAACCTCAGCGTCCCTCCCAGTCTGGAGACGTGATTTCACGACCCTCGGTGAAGGTCTCGCTCCATGGTTCGCCCTGCAGAAATTTACCGAGCACGCTCTGTCCTGAGCTCTGTGCCGAGGGTAGCCAGGATAGAGGCCTCCCTCCGAGGTTCAAGGTCGAGCCAGGGAGCCCGGCACACAAGCAGGCATTAACGGGGCAGGCGTTCTTAAGGAGGCTGGGGGCGCAGGGCACACAGAGGGCACCTGGCTGCAGTCTGTACGAAGGGAGCCCTTCCGAGGCTGAGAGGGATGTTACGAAGGCCGAGGGATGGAACACATAGAGGCTGAAAGGAAAAGTAAGGAGGAACTTGACCTGCATACCAACCTTGGCCTCAGCTTTCCTTTCCTTGAAATGGGAGAATGATGTCTGTTCTCATGAGTAGGTTGAGGTCAAGTGCTTAGAGTTCTCTGGAACCCAGGACATCTCTAATCTGTGGTATGAAGGCCCTTGGATGGCAAGGGAGGAACACAGGCAGCAGAAGCAGGATTCGGAGAGAAGCAAAGGGCTGGGAACAGCTAACTTTCCACTTCCTCCATTGCAGCGCCCGGCACTCTGTGGAACCCCGGGCACCCCGAGACGACCGCAGCCCTAGAGCTGAGGTTCGGGAAGTCTCTGTCTGGGGAGAAGGTGGTGTGGGTTTCGGTGGAGTCTAGTGTAGACACAGACCTGGGAGGAAGCTGCTAGAGGAGGGCAGGCCAGAGAGGCCGGGACTGTGCCTGGAACCTTCCCCTGCACCGGCCCGAAAGCCCCAAGGCCCTGGGGCTGTGTCTCCCCGTCACCCTCCCCGGGTCTCACATGTAACAGGCTCTTTGCGTGAAGCACCACCACTCGGAATTATCCGAGGCCAGTTTTAGCCAGGAATCCTGGCTTCCTGCCTGCGATAGTTTGGGGCTACCGCATTCCAGCCACTAGGGCTGGAAACACAACCTGATTTCCTATTAACCTGAGGGGACTAGAACCGGGAAGGGTAATTCTGCTATTTTTGGAGATTCACACATTGTGCTCTAACCTCAAATACAAAAGAGCGTTTGTACCCTACTTACCATTCTCCCTGCTCTTCAGCGTGATAATGGGAAGTTGAGGGCATACATCATAATAATAACAACAGCCAACATTTAGGTGAGAATTATCACGTGCCAGGCAGTGTGGCGTCAGACTTAATAGTTCATTGAATCTGCGCATCCATTCTTTGCTGCTGCCTCTCATTTTACACTTGGGGAATCTCAAGCTCAGAGAGGTTAAGCAGCTTGCCCGAGATCACACAGCTTGTAAGGGATGAAGCAGGGGATTTGAACCATAGTAGCCCAGGTCCAGAGCCCCCAGTCTTAGTTGCCGTGCCCCCTCACCTCTTAGAGTGAAAAGCCCTTCCAAAGAGGAGATGAGAATTTGCAAGGGGTGATGTCAGAGAGAGGCTGGGAGAGGGAATTTTTAGCAACTCCTGTAATGAACAGAGACCGCTCCAGGCTTTGTGTGCCGCAGGGATGGAGAGTGGGTTTCCAAGGGTAAGAAACACAGATATGACGGCTGGAGTTGGGGCATCTCGCCTGGACTCACCTGCCAGGCTCCAGTACCCCCTTGTTCTGACTCTGACTTAGTTCCTACCAGATGCCACCTCTTGGCCGCCCCCATCCGACCGTGTCCCCAGAACCGCAGCTCCTCAGGGACCCTGGCACCAGGATGGAGTACCCGCCATGCCAGACTCCCGACCAGTTTCACTCCCCGCTCTTAAAACCCCAGCTCCCCCAGTCAGGCTGTTTCTCTGCCTCACCAGCTGAGAATGCGTGTGTTTTAAAGCTCTGAATGGGCCATTCCGGCTTGGAGTCCAGATGCATTTTTATATCCACATGGAAAAAAAAAATGCAGAGGCTCTGCTGGCAGTCAGAAAGAGTTTTTTAAATGAACGTTTAAAAAAAAAACAAAGAAAAGGAAAAAGTTTCCTGCACCTGGCCCTTCTCAGAAAAGCACGAAGGAGAACAAAAGCATTTCTTTAATTTGGGCCCATGTCTAATTTTTAAAAGACGCATGTCCCACCCACCTCGCACCGGTGCTTTTCAGATGCAGCCGTCTATCAGATACCTACTCTCTGCCACCCTCGGGGCTGATGGTATGTAAGTCTCACAGTTAGCCCCATTTTACAGGTGAGGAAACTGAAGCTCATGTGGGGGCAGTTGGCTTACCCAAGGCCACTGTTGCCTTCCTAGGCTGCTGTAAGAGACTGGGTGGCTTAAAACAACAGAAATGTCTTCTCTCACAGTTCTAGAGGCCGAAAGTCCAAGATCAGCTTGTCAGCAGTATTGGTTCTTCTCAGGGAAAATCTATTCCATGCCTCTCCCCTAGCTTCCGGCGACAGCCTGCATTCCCTGCTGTGGATATCACTCCAGCCTCCTTTGTCACGTGCATTCACCCTGTGTCTTCACATGGCCATCTCTTGTAAGGACACCAGTCACACTAGATCAGGGGCCCATCGTACTCCAGGATGTCCTCGCCTTAATTTAACTGCATCTGCAAAGACCCTGTTTGCAGATAAGGTCACAACCTGGGGTGCCAGGTTAGGATTTCCACATCTCTTCTTTTGGGGGATCCAGTCCAACCTCTAACAGTCACAGTGCAGATGAGGCCAGAGAGGGACTGGTTCCAATCCAGACCCCTGGTTATACACTGCCTCTTCACAGCATCAAAGAAGCAAGAGGGGCAAACCCCGTGGCGCCTCTTCTCATAGCAGGTGGCGCTGCCTGCAACCCAGAAGCAGAGACCAAGATGCCACCACTGGCCACTGCTGCTCCCTGGTGCTGACAGCGCCTGGGAGCCCGCGCCTTCAACCTAGCACTAACCCGAGGCCTCTGTGCCGAGAGAAATTGCAAATGTCTGTGGTGGCAACACCACCTTCACGAGAAGTAGCATCTATTGAGCAGTTACTGTGCGCCGCCAGAGTGTTCTGGGCATTTTGCATGTTAACTCTTTGTCTTCTTCTGTAGAACCCTAGAGGATAGTGCCGTTAACATTCCCATTTTACAGATGAGGAAACTGAGACCAGGGAGATTCATTTAACTTGCCCAAGGCCTTGAAGCTAGGAAGTGCAGGACCTGCCCTGCCCAGGCAGGGTGGCCTCAGAGCCCAAGCTCCTGGCTACCAAGTGCAGTGACCTCTGTGTACCTCAGGGGTGTTTTGGGAAGAGCCCCAGCACAGAGCCAATTTAGCTCTAGACCTGGTGATGTTTAAGAGGGAACTCACTGGTGCCATATGAATCCATTTGTAGGAAGTGTCCAGAACAGGCAAATCCACAGAGACAGAAAGTAGACTAGCGCTTGCCGGGGGGCAGGGGGAATAGGGAGTGGCTGCAAATGGGTAGAGCGTTTCTTTTGCAGTGATGATGATGAAAATGTTCTAAAATAGGTATGGTGGTGGTCACACGACTATGAATAGACTAGAAGCCATTGAATTGTAGACAGGTGACTTCTATGATAGTGACTTGTATGTGTGGTGAGTTATATCCCAATAAAGCTGTTACAAAACAAAAGTCAAAAAGAGGGAAGTAGGCAGAGTGCGGGGGGGCGGGGTCAGGAAGAGTGAAGAGCGGGAGGCAAGAGCATGCGCAGGTCCCAGGCCGCCGAGCCCGGGGCAGAAGCCAGTGGCTGGGGGACCACGGCAGTGCGGTGGCCAAGGGAGCCTTAGCGGAGGCCAGCAGAGAGAGATGGGGGCCAGAATCCCCAGGACCCGCGGAGGACGGTGCCGCCCAGTGACAGTGAAGGGCCCCTGTGGTTGTCATCGAGGGACCGGATGGGCTCGGCTTCCTCAGAGGCACTGCCCCTGGCAGCCGGGTGGGAGGCCAGCCGCCTAACGGGGTCGCCGTCCCCAGATGGGATGGAACACGGGAGGGAAGCCGGCTGCCCGGCCCAGGCACCAGTCACAGCCCAGAGAGCGGATGTATGGAGCACACGGCCACTTGCAGCACTGTCCCTGGGCACGTAACCCACTAATGGGATAGAAGTGCCCATCAGCTCCCTACACCCGCCCCAGGAAGCAGGTGTCACGGGGCCAGAGCTGGCCTTCAGGTTTGCGGTGCTGGCGGGTGGGAGACCAGGCTGTGGCGTCTTCCGGTGGGTCTTTTCTCACGCGCTGTGTTTCATTCCAGCGGGCCTTCAACGCCCTGTGTCACAGCACCCACCTGTATGGCCGGAGGCTGGTGCTGGAGTGGGCCGACTCCGAGGTGAGCCTGCAGGCCCTGCGGCGGAAGACGGCCGAGCACTTCCACGGTAAGAGAACTGCCGTCCGCCGGCCGGGCTGGGGGGGCCGGGTTCCTGGACCTCCCTCCGTCTCCTTCACATCTACCCTCCGCCATCCATACGCTTCTCTGTGCCAGTGGGAGGTGCTGGCCCGAGTGGGTGGCATTGGTGGCCTCCATGCCCTTTTGGTTTCCCAGTCAAGTCAGGTCATTGGGAGGCCTGGCAGGATATCGGGGAGAGGAACAGCCTGGGTGAGGGTGGTTATCCCCCCGCCCCCCCCACTTCCTGCCTGGTTGCTGCCGGCTGGCTGTCATTGCCCCCAGAGGCCACAGCTCACATCCAGTGGCTCTCTGCACCCAGCACTCTCTGTCCAGGGTCCAGTGGCTGACCCAGGGACCACTTGCCCCGATTTCCCTGCGCCTGCTACCTGTTTACTGGACCCTCCTCAGTTATGCAGTTTGAGTGCCTTCCGCTTCCTGCCCGGGCCCCGATGGCCATAGGACCCAGCTCCACCTCTCACACACCTTGGTGGCTTCACACAGCCTCGCCAGTAACGCAGTCCAGCTCCAGAAGATACTTAGCCCCTGCCATGTCCCAGTACGAGGAGTGCCGCGGTGACCTCTGGGGGCTTTGGGCCCAGGTGGAAGGGGCTAGGTCCAGAAGGGCCTCCCCGCAGAGGTGACGTTCGTGCCCACAGGAGGGTTGCCCAGGGTTGGCATGAGCGTGACACATCGAGAAACGGGGCGGCCAGCGTGGCTGGAGAGGGCAGCCAGAGGCCTCACACAGGCCTCGCCTTCTCTAGCACGTTGTCTAGAAGCAGCATGGAAGCCCTTTGACTCTAGCTCCACCTGCCAAACCCTTCAGAACACCCCCCCGTGCCCACCCCAGTGGCCTTTCCTGCCTAATCCTTCCCCACCACACCTCCCGTGGAGGTCGCTGTCTCCAAACGCCAGGCAGGACTCTGTGTCTTTGCATATGCCGTTCCCTGTGCTCAGAATGCCTTGCCTCTCAGTTTTGTTTTTCTCTTTTTTTCCAACCTGGCAAGTGCCTATCCAGCCTTTAAGGCCCAGCTCAAATGACACCTCCTCCAAGAAGCCTTCCCTTTCCCCACCCTCCACCCCCAGGTATCAGTAATGGCTCCGTCCTCTGCTCTCCCACCTGTGTTTCTAAACCTCCTTGCCACGTCGTCATGTATTTCTTTTTTTTTTTAATTCTATTTATTTATTTGGTTGCACCGGGTCTTAGTTGTGGCAGGCGGGCTCCTTAGTTGCAGCGTGCACGTGGGATCTGGTTCCCTGACCAGAAATCGAAACTGGGTCCCCTGTATTGGGAGCGTGGAGTCTGAACCACTGCTCCACCAGGGAAGTCCCCGTCCTGTATTTCTTAACGATTCTTCTCCTCGCTGGACTGGCGCCTCCCGCAGTGTGGAGAGCGTGCCGTCGTGTGCCGTCATGTCACCTCTGTCACTGTGATTGGTTCATCTCCGGGCCCCCGTGCCAGCCTGGACCAGTCCGAGGCTGGGGAATACATAAGCAAAGGCGAACGAGAAAGCAGAGCCGTCAGGGCTAAGTACACAGTCGCAAGCACACAACTCAATAAGCCCCCAAATCCTGCTGTGCAGGAGGAGAGCCTGTCCTTATCGACAGCCATTGACCAGCCTAAATGCACCCATCGGCAAATGTTTGTGTAAGGGACTCTCCCGTCCCGCTGCCCCCCCCCCCCCCCCCCGCGGGGGAGTGCAGACTCAGCAGTCCTGCCCTGCATTGGAGAGTAGCCTCCTTCAGTAAACTGAGCTCCAAAGACAGCATTTACTGCCTTACCCCAGCAGAAAGCCTTGGCTGGAGGCGTTTCTGTGGGATTGGCTGTCTCCCCCTATCAGCTGCAGGCCGAGGCCCAGACAGGGGCAGATAAAATAATAATATCAGGAAAGACAGCAGGTTGTTTGCATACATCTTCCCATTAATGCCCCAGCAGCCCCGTGAGGTGGGCCTGATTAGCCCCGTTTTGCGGATGACAGAACTGAGACCAGCCGAGCACTAAAGGCACTCCTGAAAGCTACTGTTTATTAAAGGCTTCCTCTGTGCCGGGCCATCCTCTGTATGTGACACGCGTTGTCTCTTTCATCCTCACGGCAACCCTTCCAGCCATGGGCACGGCTGTCTACATTTAACAGACAGAGAAGGAGGTTCAGCCGTGTGCCCAAGACATGAGAAAGCCTGGAAAGTGCACAGCTGACATTTGAACTCGAGGGCAGCTCTAGAGCCCTCTGCCCCGCCCTGCCACAACCCCACGCATGGCATTATAGTAGCAGATGCCACTTGTAAAAGCCTTGGGCCTCCGTTAGATCTAGGGTGTGTGTGTTTACCGCACGGCTTCCTTCCTCCTGAATCGTCCAGACCCTAAACCCAGAATGTACAGGGTCCCTTCCCGAAATGGAGGGGATGAATACCAAGTCTAGTGAGAAACATAGCTGGCGCTTTAGAATTGACACCCTGCGATGTGCGTGTTACCTTGTCCCCATTTACAGATGAGGAAACCGAGGTGCAGAGGTGAGAAAAGGCCCCACCAAGGCCAGCGCTGGGTGTCAGAGCCCAGCCATGTGTTTGCACTTTTTTTTTTTTTTTTTTTTTGTGGTACGCAGGCTTCTCACTGTTGTGGCCTCTCCCGTTGCGGAGCACAGACTCCGGACGCACAGGCTCAGCGGCGAGCCTGCCATGGCTCACGGACCCAGCCGCTCCGCGGCATGTGGGATCTTCCCGGACCGGGGCACGAACCCGTGTCCCCTGCATCGGTAGGCGGACTCCCAACCACTGTGCCACCAGGGAAGCCCCTGCACTTCTTTTGAGTCCCCTTGAGGGGCATTCCCCCCTCCCCCAGGTTCTGGAAGGGGCCCCTGGCTCTGAGCTAACCAAGTGCGCAGAAAGGGAGCCCTGAGAGACCCTCCCCGGCACCGTGGGTGGATGTCAGGGTCCCAGCAGGGAACAGAACTTACCCCAGGCCTGCCATGCAGAGGTGGGGGCAGGGGGCAGAGGTGAAGGGGCAGCAGGAGGAAGTGATGCCCCTGGGCTCCAGGGAGAGCAGGGGCCTTGGGGATGGCCAGCTGGTCCCCAGGTTTGGAGGGATGCAGCCAGTGCCAGGGCCCTGAACCAAAGCAGGGAGGGAGCCAGGAAAGATATGCCTGCATCCCGCTCGCCCCCCTCTCTGCTCTGCTCTCCTCCCAGGTCTCGCGTTGGCCCATCCATCAGCCAGAGGGCCAGGCTCCCCAGTGACGGCTCCTTCCAGGGGATGGAGTAGGACAGGGGAGGGATTGGCAGCTCCAAACAGAATATCCAGCGTCTGTGGCGACCCACGAAGTTCAGGGCATAGGGCGGAGGTCGGGGGGTGTTTTCTGGGGGGCGGGACCAGCAGTGCCTGGCTTGGCGGGGATGTGTTCCATCCAGAAGGGTCACTGGCAAACATGGCCAAGTGTCAGACCTCTAGCTGGCCTCACCTGTCTGGGGCGTGAAAAGGCAGCAAAGAGGTAGCCTGAAAGTTCGGGGCCCGAAGAGTCTGAAACAATTACCTATCGTACTTATACAGCACTTTTTCCAAACCAATATATAATCCTTAGAAAACAAAAGGACGCTATCCAGAGCACAGCAAGATGTGAGACAGGGATTTTTAACCCAGAATCCATGAAACCTTGTCTTCATGGGCCCTAGTCTAGGGCTGGCCTCAGAGGGGCTGTGAACACACAGAAACGTTATCATCTGGTACGTGTGTGCACGTGTGTGTTTACCTCTGGCAAGAGGATCCTTGTTGTCATCAGATTTTCTCTCAGGTCATGGTCCCCAAAAAGTTAGTTTTAGGAGGAAGAGCATCAGCTTTGGAATCATCAAGTCCTGGATTCTGTGGCCTCCCAGCTGAGTGTCCCAGGACAAGTCACTGTGCCCCTGGGGCTTCCGCTTCCCATTTTACAAATGGGGATACAAGGGTACTGCCTTATGGGGTACTGGTGAAGATGGTCAGGGCAATAACGAGCAGCACGAGCTGCCCTTTTTTTTTTTTACCCACACAACACCCCTAGGAGGTAGATGCCCTTAATCACCCCATTTTACAGATGAAGGGACTGAGGCACGCAGAGATGAAGTAGCTTACCCAGGATCACACGGGCAGTAAGTGGTAGACGCAGGGATTGAACTCGGACAGTCTGGCTACAGCGTTCCATCCTTGGGGTGACTGCGCCCTACATCCTTCCCAAGTAAGCAGGACACCGCGGGGGAAACAGGGTAGACGAGTCGGCCGAGAACAGGTGCTCTGCAAACGTCAGCCCTCTTACCCACCCACCCCATTGTCTGCTTGATGTCTTTGGAAACGGGATACCCACGGCAGTCCTCGATACTCAGAATAGGGCTGCTGGCCTCCTGCCCTCCTGACTGGACCCTTTTCCCCGCTCTGCCCCTTCCTTGTGGTGGAAAACGCCCAGCTTGTTTGTGTTGAAATCCTCATTGTTCAGAGCATCCAGGGCCCTGGCAGACTCCGAGGGCCGGTGGGATCCATGCCCGGTTCCCTCCCCCGGCCCTGATCTGTGCCAGGAAGGCACTCAGGACTCAGGTGGAGGCCCCGAGCCCCATTTGCCCAGCCTGAGCACCGAGGCCACGACAAAGGGCTCCCTGGGGAAGGTGGGCCTACGGCAGGCGTCTTAACCATTGGGCGGGAACCAGCAGGAAGCTTGCTGGGGACACCGTGGCCTCTGAGCTGCCCTCGGGGACAGAGGGGGGGTGGCCAGAGAAATAGAGAAGAGCTTTGGCCCTACTGTGGCCGGTACAATCAGAGTTCACCTCTGCCTCAGAGCTCCAGCTCCCCTGGGGGAGGCTGTGGGGATGGGGTGCTGGTGGGCCGAGAGCTGCCCAGGCCCTGTGACCAGCCCTTCTCTCCTGCATTAGTCCCTGACAAGCCTAGGTCAAGCCACACATTCCCCCCTCCCCCAGGTTCTGGAAGGGGCCCCTGGCTCTGAGCTAACCAAGTGCACAGAAAGGGAGCCCTGAGAG